GAATTGACCAATCACAGTTGAATGTAAGAAAAATATTCGACTACGATTGGTCAATTCTTAGTTAATATGATATGAGTAGTGACTAACGGCTTATTGTAGAAAGCCTCTTACGGTTTACGATTTATAACACCGACATATGACGTATTGTAGAACGAGCCTAGCACGATAAGAAAGGTTCTAATTCCTACCATGATATAATTTTGCCACCGTCAACGCGGAATTCTTAGCTAAGTAGTCAAGAGTTATAAAATGTAAATTTCACATTTTCAGTATATTATTTAGAGATATATAATTCTTTTTTCTATTCATTCGATTGTAAAGAAAAACATTTTTTAATTATTTATTTCAAATTAATATAATTATTATAATAAAAATAATTATTATAATAAAAATATCGGAATTAAAAAAGTACTGCAATAGAAAACAAATAAAAACTTTCATAGACATTATTTTACATGTGAAATCTCCCTTTTATTTCGAAAAAGATACAACAAGAAAGTTGACTTCTATAAAATGGAATCGGTAAATAATTTTCGCAATGGAATCTAGCTAAACAAACTTTTAAAAATCTTTCCTTAGAAGTACGATAACTGTCATTTATCCGAGAAATGGTGAGAAAGTTGTAAGAATAATAGCAGTAAGCTATTATAGGTTTTAATACTGGTTTACATATACGCTGTTTACAGCAAGAATGTACCTAATTTTGACGAGAATTCATCCATCTCGCGCATATTCTTCCCACAGAACGCTTGGAGAGCGGCCCTCTTCACTGCTCGTTCAGGGAATCGATTGTGTATCTTTAAACGAGATGAAAATTACAAAAATGAGCCAATTCACTAGATATTGGCCAATGAAATTAAAAATATTCTAGTGAATTTGTTCACTTTTGTAGTTTTTACCTTATTCCAAGAAACACAATTGAGAGTCAGACTCGTATAGTTTGTTTATGTCATCATCAAAACATCAAACACTTAGCATACCGATTGCGATTATAGATATTTAATTATTATTTATCAAAACTCCATCGAACAGTTTAGTTCAATATAAAGATTTTATAACATTAGCAATGGAAAAAAAAATTGATATCAAGTGCCATTAATGCCACTAATATACGGTACTGAGTAGGACCCTACGATGAATATGTATTCTTTTCACTATTGGGAACTGACATGGGGGCGTGGCCTAAGGGTTTATGGAATTTTGGAATGCAGCCGCCACGGCTGCATTCCAAAATTTACTCGGATAACCAAAATTCTATAGTTAACGTGACATAAACTATAGAATTTTGGTTACCCGAGTAAGTTTTGGAACGCACAATTACGCAACCCATATGGGATATATAACGGCCATAATTATTTTAAAAATTCTATAGGTATAGAATACAAAAATTTTATACCTATAGCATTTTTAAAATAATGGGAATTTAACAAAAATTTTACAGATTGTTCTTATATATGTTGAAAGACTTAAGACAAAAGCCGGAGTGGATTCACTGAAGCAATCCAAAGTTGTAAGGATTTTAATTTGAATTTTTAGATTAGATTTGGCCATAGAATTCGAAAATTCTCAGGAAAAAAAGCAACAGAAGCATTTCTGCGCTCTAGTTCTGAATAAATGATAACATTCTGCACAATCCTTATTACTCAAACTATATGAGAAGAACATATTCGTCAAAATCAGTCCTTTAACTTTTTGCTACTATTGTACGTATTAAACATCCTTAAGACTTATAAGGGAACTTACAAGTGTGCCCCTCCGATTTTAATGAGCTTTAAATATGTTAAAATATAGACAAAATACCCACATTTTTTTATACGTGCTAAGTCGCATGTTAAGGGAGTGATATCCAGTTTAAAAAAAAATCAGTTTTTTTTCTTTCTGAATAAATATCAAGTAAATCATCAAAGATATGAAAAAATATTTTAAACAAAAGTTTTACGACTTTAAGTACGCTTTACAATGATGCGTTTTAATTTAAAAAAAATCACATTTTTTTACTACTCCCCCACCCTTAATTTTCAAAAATTTGAAAATTTTTATAACAAAAATTAAAATGTATTTTATACTGAAAACAACAGTGTATGATATAAAGATCAGATAATGTATCTTTAGGAAGTAAGCGAGAAATATCTCTATATACGCGCTCTGTACGTATTCGTCTCATTGCATTGGCTGCGCGTGATAGCGTTAAAGACAAATACAACACAGAATTCATAAAAAAAATAAAAACTTTTGATAATAGTAATGACAATTATATTATTATTATTATTATTATTATTGTTATAGTAAGTTTGTTATAAACTGCTAAAACCAGTCAAATATTTTTTGAACGATATTTTCTTAAAATATCATTTAATTTAATTTTGATCAAAAAGCAGCTAACTGCAATGTTCAATTTACAACATATTTTACTCTTCACAATTTATATATTCGTGTCGTAATGTCTTACTGTCGCAGAAAATAGATTTACACAATGACATTGTTAATATGACTAAACACTTTAATGTAAGATATTGCATCTTATTAATTCAGCTATGCAAGAAATAGATTTGCTGGCACAATGCTTGTGTGATCTTTATCTATAAGTAAGTTTTTCTTGCTCTTTGTATTTTTAAATAATTTTTATTTTGTAGTTTCTTTATATTGGAAAAAATTAATTTCATTGATTTTATTTAATTTTTAGAATTTGACAAAAACAGTCCTTCAATTTTGATAATGTTTTTAAAATACTTGCATATAGTAAAACATTGTACATACATTTACATTATACACTGTACAAGTTATTCTATTTCTTTGCTCAACGGATTTCGTTCAAAAATAATCAATTGTTTGAAAGGAATAAAGGAATTTATTATGAATTATACAACAAACAATTTTCTGTTTTTTGTTCTATTATTTTAATAAATTATTAACTTCTGTTTACTTTAATAATTATTATATTAGAAATGAAGAAATAATAATAATGACAAAGCAAACAAACAAGAATATCAAATCAAAAATATTTTAGTAATATATTCAAATAATGGATTAAAGAAATGTATAATACCAGAAATGATTAAATTATACTGGGTACGTTGTATCTCGGTGACTTAGAATTAATAATCAATTTATGTTATATAAAGGGATTAAATATTAAATCTTATATCAATAAAATAATTAAAAACACAAAACAATGTTTTAAAATAACAAAAATACAAAATATTTTATTTTGGTTATACAGATGCAATTTCCTAAAGTTAGTACAGGGCAGACTGTTGATTTTTATATATACATTAATATTAAAGTCTAATAGTTTACTACGTTATTCTCACAACTTGCCCATTTCTTGGACAAATAACGGTTAGTTTTGTACTTCTTAAAACCTAAGGAAGGATTTTTAAAGATTAGTTTAGGTTCCATCGCAAAGCAGAATTTGATCTTATTTACCAGTCCTTCTTTATGTGTATAAAATTCCCTCTGGAAATTATGATTTTTTTATATAGAAAAAGATTCTCTAAAGGGTCATCTATAATGAGAGTAGTAAATCGTAAGCCGTAAAAAATTGACCAATCACAGTTGAATATGAAAAGAATAATTGACTGTGATTTGTCAATTTTTTACGGCTTAC